AAGTCAGTCTAGGTGTGGTTATTCAAACTCTGCTGTGGCATGCTATCGGCCATATATTCAATTAGGTTTGCATAAATGTTATAGAAGCGGATAGAGAGGATGATAATTGGGGGAAATGGATGAGTCTGACAACTTAACACAGGCTCGAGCGGAGGTCAAATTGACTCCCACACCACGAAGGTTTCCCCAGAATGATTTCTAAACGGCGTGGCGTAGCCGCGCCAAATTTTGCATAGCTGTAGACAATTGAATAGCTGATCGTTTATCATGAGAAAATATAGATGTACCTTGTACGGTTGCTGAACTATGAAAGCTCAAAGTCAGACCATGGTTTCAGCGAAGCCAATTTCGATGGAATCTTTCAATCAGATCAACCAACGGAGTGTTAAACGAAGCCATACATCTCTAAAATGTTTTCTTAGGTAACACAACATTGACACTAGCATTGACCTAGGGTAAGGTATGAAGGTCAGACCAAGGTCAAATCAACCTAATTTATTGGTCTCGGCCGTGCTGTATGGGCTGATTTCTGGTACTCATTTCGAATATATTGATAGCAGGAACCGTATCATACACCTTCTATGGACTTCTGATAGGTCAGAATAGGTCACTGACCTAGATTGACCCACGTCAACATTTTGCTTTTAGGAACATGCTGCCTAGCGCAATATTTGTCCCTTATTCAAATGCAAAACTCAAAGCAGTCTTATATCATTTTGGTCACCATGGCCTTTAAAGGTCAAACAAGGTTACTTATCTTAAATTTCTGCATGAAATTTTGCTTAGAACAGTTGCCTAGGTAATCAGGGCCCTTAAGAGACCATTCTGGAATTTGACCTTGGCTGATCTGATTTGACCCGAAGGTCATGATTTGGGAACCTTAAAATTCGACCTAAATGAGTTCACGTACAGGTCAACACACCCTGTGAATTTGGTGTCTCTAGTTCTCTTAGTTCCCGAGATCTCAGGGGAGGGGGTCAAATTGACCCTCCTTCACACGAGCGAAGGGTATCCAACCGGCCACCCAAGCGCCTGTGAAGGTCAAACAAAGACACTGATCTTAACTGAGCGTGTGAAATTTCGCTTAGAACAGTTACCAAGATTCTAGGGGACCTTTGGAGACCAATCCGGAATTTGATCCTGGCTGACCTTATTTGACCCGAAGGTCATAACCTAGGAGCCTGAAACTTTCACCTAGGAGAGGTCATGTACAGGCCAACACACCCTGTGAGTTTGGTGTCTCTTAGTTCCGAGATCTCAGGGGGTCAAATTAACCCTCCACTCGAGCGAAGGGTATCCAGCCGGCCACCCGGGCGTGTGTTAAATCTGAAAACCCGCAGACTGGTCGTTTATTGATACTAGTGGGGTTATTACATCCCACCAGAGTTTAAATACTGCAGAGAGTGTACCACGCGTAAAGTACTTGGTTCCAAACTGTGGAAGGCTGGCGGCTGATATCCTTTGAGAATCTTAGCCCACGCTCGAGAAGGGCATCTGACAGCCCCCCCCCCCCCACCCCACCACCACCGCGGTGGTGTTTCTTGGATGACTTGACAACCTGTAACGATATCATGCTGATGTCTTCAGTAGCTGACTTAATGGTCTTCTTAACCATCCGGTAAGTTTTTTTAGCACTTTCCAACAGGTGGTGACCAAAGGGTGAAGTTTTTAAGGCAAGGTACCTAGCTGAAGGCCATGATAGTCAGTGTTTTTGCCGTATGGACAATACAGTTTATCGGCTGGTAGTTGGGGTGTACTACTTATTTGTTTGTACGTGCAATCAAATTTGATGCCAGCGATGTCAGGTCCGATTATGACTGAGGTTGTGGGATCATGTCATCAGAAGTCAAACTACGTCAAACATGACCAGTTGTCCTTCGGTGTGCAATTTATGGCACATGCACTTTCCAGGATGATTCATTATGAACAACCACATCAACGCCATGTTGAAAAGCATAGTGTGACGAATTACAGGTAACTCCTTGGGTTGATGTTACACTGGGTCAAAGAAGTGTGAAACATATGCACTGCTACGCATATTTTGTACTGTGCTACGTGCACATTTATCTTACTGGGGCTTAGTTATTCTACTATGTCTTGGAGAACACTCACACCTATAAGAGTGTTTTGTAATAATCCATCGCATCAACATCAGTTGGGTTGGGAATTAGAAAACGTCTGTTCGGATCGCTAGGGTCATTTTATGACCATGGCATTACTAAGAGCGGGTAGCCGTGAGTGTCAGACCAAGGTTAGCGTTGTCCCCCTACCTCGGTGAAAGTTCCCGCTGCGTGCCTGCTGGCATTTGCCAACAGTCGACATTTGGTTCTCCTGATGTAAATCCTGGCCACGATCCTAACCGGCTAGATCAGCATTGTAAACGCTGGAAGATATTAATATTTAGGACGTGCCCGGCGGTCGGTTGAACATGATCCCGCCCGGGTGGCGGAGGTCTATTTGACCCCCTGAGACTTTAAAAATCAGGTGAGCTAGAGTCACATCAATCACAGGATGGAAAGGCGAGTATTTTAAAACACTTTGTACAGCATGGAGATCCCCATGTCACAGCCTTCTGATGAAAAAGTTCGATACGGATAAACTTCTGGTCGGTGGCTGAAGATCCCTCAGACCTCCTTATGCCACGACGTTTAACCTAGATACCTTGACTTAGCAAAAGGTCACTGATGTTTATTTCAGGTCAGTAACTTCATTAAACATTCAGAAATCACATTGACTGAAAAGTTGTGAGATTGTTTTGATTTCAATATCTTAATACATATCAAAGGCTACCCTGAGCGATGACCTTCAAAAAGTGTAAATCTGATTCACTCAAGGTCAATGTCCTGTTCTGACACTTGTGTGACTCAAAGACTACCTTCACTGACGTCCCTGTGATCGGAAAAATCAAAATGAGCGTCACAAACTATTAAAAAAGCAAGGTTTCCAGTTAAATAGCTTATCGGGTTTGACCTCGAAGTAACCTCCATATCTGACCCAAGGCCAGTGGAATTAGTCCTGCTCATAAATTCAAGTGTCTTGTTGTAAAAACCGTCTCAAAGGTGCATGACTTCGTCGAAGATACCGCTGTTGCATCTTAGTGAGCGGTCTCCTAGGAATTGCCTTCGCTGATCGCCATGGCCTGACCTGTCCTGCCACAGGTCAGCGATCTCACCAGTTACATCTAATTTCTCCCACCAAAAGACTGACGATTGAATTGCCTACCGCTCTGGAACGTTTGCCTTGGCTACGCCGCGCTGTTCGGAAGCTGTTATGGAAAACCTTCGGGGGTGGGGGGTGGGGGCAAATTTACCCCCACGCCACCGCGCACCGATGCATGACGAAAGCAGGATGCGTCGAATTCAGACCAAGCTTATCTACTGGTTGATTGGTCTCATCGCTTGCCGTATGAAGCACCCTTTCTCAAGATATTGTGTGACGTCCATGTATGGCCGGCCGACGGCTCACTCTCCATATTCGTCAGAAATCGCGTGATCAGTCCATGCTACGTCCAACAAATCGTTACAGCTCCAGCTACTGTTGCCTTAAAACTTTTAGAATCGGGGAGCTCTACCAGGTGAAAGGTATTGATATCATTGTCAAGGTTTCGAATGCTGCTTTGACCATTTGAGTTCGACCTTGTGATATCACCTGACCGTAAGATCACTGTGAAACTAGGTTTTTATGAGACTGTCCATTGAATAATACCACAGGTGTCCTGCTCGGCCCGTTGCCAAATTCCCCATGAAAGCACGCATCTGGAAGGGATTTGAATAAGCAATGCGGCTTACTGATACAGCATGGCCTCACATAACCTTGACTTAACAAGAAAGGTTTCAGCAGGTTTTGTGCTTTCGTTACGTATTGACCCCGGCAGGTGTAGCGGTAGACCGTGCCCCGGGACAGGGGGTCAGCATGTAAGCCGAGTGGGGCGATGATTCATGTCTGAGTGCGGAGAACAGTCACTGCTCGGGGCGGTGCGTTACCCTGCAGGCACGCCGACAGGGATGCGTCACGGTGGCGCCGGCCAGTCGCACGCAGATCGTGTTGCGGGTATGAGTCTTGGAAGGAGTGCAAGAGGTGCTGCTCGGGGCGCGTGGGGAGAGTCTCTCCCTGTCGGCGTCGTGTGCGGCAGTTCACCGTCGCGTGTGAGGCAGTCCGACCGATAATTCCTTTAATCATCAAATGCAGCAGGACTTAAATATTTTTTTTGATATGCGTTTTGCAGTTAAAAAGTGACACAATAAATGACACACCAGTTGTGTTCAGGGCAGCTTCTCACTTGACTTGGCCGGTGATACAATAAGCCAGACTGAGGTGAGCAAAACCTAGGTTTATTATCTCCGCACATAATCGCTCAGTTACCTTTTGCCATTCTTATTCACGCAATCGGTCGATTCGTCTTGGAGACACAGGCCTAGACAAAGCAATACTCCAGCGAGTGATGTGCGGTAAGTACACAGCGGCTGTAGATTTGAAAGGCAGCGTGCGGCATCATCCGACGAACTGGACCTGCGCATTCGGCCACTGAGTTCGGGGTACACACAATCACACTTTTCAATAAGTTCAAGCCAAAAACCTCCCATGCAAACCATTCGGAACAAGCTGACAAAGAACAAACACCAAACAAAACAAAATAACTGTCAGCAAAATGGTAGCTTGACCAGTTATTTGGCTTGCTGTTCTGACACACATTTTGTTCTTTAAGTTTTAATCCAACGCCTGACTTTTCTCCGTAGGCGCCCCTTCAGGCACGGAGCTGGGAGGGGGAGACGGTGGCCAGTCGCCTCGCCTTCAGCGGGGCCCGCCCGGCCGTGCGGTCGCTACAGGGAGCGTGAGAGGCGCGGCGACGGTTTCGCCGTCGCCACCGTCGGTCGTCCGTCGTCGCGCGCGGAGCTGCGCGCCTGCCGGCGGACCCGCCGTCGCCGCTGCCGGATGTCTGCTGGGCGGTGATAACGCTGGGCGGTGATGTCGCCAGCCCCAGGCGGCGCCTGGGGCTGGCGACAGTCAGCCGTCTCACGCCCGGGGCACGGGTCTCGGTCACGTCTCGTGGCCACGCCTCCGTCGGGTGTGGTCCCGGTCACGCCGTCTGTGGCGGTGCGTGCCAGATGGACTCCCGCGTTTGGCCCACGCACCGGGTCTTGAGCCAGACAACCTCTATGGCCGAGTACAGTTTCTGGCTCAAACCAGGAACCTCAAGGTCTGGTGGCAATAGTCGGTTCGGATCGTAGAGGAACAGATAAAATCCCATCTCCTGCATCTTCAGGAATATCTGATAAAGGGACTGGAAATAGTCCATGTGGTCCAGCAACGGCATATACTCTTTGAAATGAAGCTCGACACCAAGCTGCTGCACGTTTTTGAAGAGGGCTGACCTGTGCATGCGCTCCGTCTGTTGCTTCAGGACACCGTACTCGCTGTATTCCACGTCCATTTTCATGTAGTGGATCTGGCTGTGGGCGTGTCCCAAACGCTCAACTATAAAGTCGAGCGTTCGCGTCGATGCGCCAAGCTTTTTTACGTTGACTTCGTTATCGGCATTGCTCGCCGACCCGATGGCGTACTTGTAGAGCACGATGGTGCCGTTCTGGTTACCGGCCTTCTCGCGGACAAACGGGTCGAAGGCAAAGACGGAGCAGCCGAACCGTTCCATGTCCCAGTCGAAGGACCAGTCGGTGGAAATTCCGAAGGAGTAGACCAGACATTGGTTGGTGCCGAGGATGTCGAACTCCGGGTCCATACAGACGTACTTATGACCATCAGACCCAGCTGTTCGGTCCCAGAACCAAGTCTGGAAAGCCACAATAGACATTCAGTCAGCAATGCAGACCATTGCGCACTTGGTGACATTGCGCTAAAGACTTTTCACTACATACATTGCACTACACACAATGTGCTACATTGAAACATTGCCAGTTGGTTTTCATCATTGACCATCATCATCGACTGGATAGGCGGGGACGGGCAATCGTCCACAGGCATGTAAATGTTTCCAGGTGCGCAGCTACGCTCCGAAAAGGCCTAGTGTGACATCAAAAAATGCATCGAACACGCCCATGCACGCGTTATTCGCAAGACAGAGACGTCACGCACGACGTCAAATACTAAGCGTCACAAAGACGTTCGGCACACACACAACTGGCTGCAGCTGGATGAACAGCTAAGACGGCGACCACTCACTGTCTGACCGCCGAAGCGGGTGATTTTTCGACACGTCTTCTCGTGGGGCGTGGTGATATACGTGAAGAGGTCCCTCAGCACGGTGCGGCTGTTGTTGGCCATCGGTGGCAGGACGTTCACCCGCAGGTCTGGCCGGCAGACGGACTCGACTGGACTGGGGGGAGGCGCTGGTGTCAGCATGACTCACACCCGGAGTGAACCTTTCTGGAGGACTGGAGATCTCAGGTCAGCAGAAAATGTAGATTCTATCTAGTCAGGCGTAACATTCTATCGGACGCACCCAGCTGCGTTACGATTTGTGAGAATATCAGGCCAGAGAGTAGAATTACTGCTAAGGGCATGCCATGGTTTGATTGATATTGATTTCGACTTCGTATTCTACATTTCTTCACCACATAAGAAAACGTAAGGACTGAGCCAGTCCAAATTGCTAAGAACAAAACAGAGGCAAAAAATTGCGTATTTCCTTCCCGTGGCTCATGAGTTTTATCACTTTACAAGCCTTTCGATCTTAACGCTGCAATATTTCTGCGTATGACTGCTTTCAAAACGGCCACCACGAAAATTGCGCCGTAAGATAACTCTCCTGGGGACATCCGTAACGTGCTGTCATTCCGGCGCGGTTTGCTCTGACTGGCCCTCGCGTGCCGGTGAACTGTGAGGGCCCGATGTTATCCCGTCTACCACTGTGATGTGGAAGTTGCTGTCATTCCGGCGCGGTTTGCTCTGACTGGCCCTCGCGTACCGATGAACTGCCAGGGCCCGATGTTATCCCGTCTACCACTGTGATGTCGAAGTTGCTGTCATTCCGGCGCGGTTTGCTCTGACTGGCCCTCGCGTGCCGGTGAACTGTGAGGGCCCGATGTTATCCCGTCTACCACTGTGATGTCGAAGTTGCTGTCATTCCGGCGCGGTTTGCTCTGACTGGCCCTCGCGTGCCGGTGAACTGTGAGGGCCCGATGTTATCCCGTCTACCACTGTGATGTCGAAGTTGCTGTCATTCCGGCGCAGTTTGCTCTGACTGGCCCTCGCGTACCGATGGACTGTCCGGGCCCGATGTTATCCCGTCTACCACTGTGACGTGTTATCATTCCGGCGCGGTTTGCTTTGGCTGGCCCTCACGTACCGATGAACTGCCAGGGCCCGATATTATCCCGTCTACCACTGTGATGTCGAAGTTACCCTTCCATTATTCCAAACACGACAAGGAAAATTGATTGTGATTTGAGTGGGTTTTGGTATTGGAATATGCGCCGAATCGAATATTCTGTCGAATATTCGACCGTAAGGAATCCAAATATCTAAGCTCCAATTTGCATGATAGTACGCATTTCAGCTGGTTAGCAAATTGGTGGACATAAGGAAAGAGCAAGACGAGCAAACGAGTTGACTACAGCCAGTACGCTGCAGGCAACTGCATCTAGGACCGAAGCAGGCACATTATCATGACATATTCGCTTACGGTTGTATGACACGTTTGTGTACATTTCAAACCAATAAATATGCATAAGTGACATTCCACCGGTGTTGTGAAACATACTTGGATGAGAGGGCAACCAGCAAAGTTGCTGGTTAATGGTTGTGCTGAGGAACGCACGTGTGCTACGTTACTAGCTCCAGTACACCAAACCTTTTTTATGCAGAACGCTTCCAAATACGACATCTTGAGGGAAACTTCTGGAAGCCACATTTCTGCAACCATTGCGGCCGTGTTGCGCGCATATGTAGCTCATCAGACACTCACCTGTCAACATCGGTGGGCAGGCCCACCCTCTCCCTCTTCTCCTTTCGGCGTGCAGATAAAAGCACTTGAACAGCGCACATCAGGGTGAGCGTGAGGCCGAGCCTCATCAGGCGCGAGCGGGACAGGCTCCGGATGGCCATCGCAGGCCTGTGCGCGGTTTGCGCCCGACAGGCCTGGCCGACCCGCCGTTCTGCGCAGGGAGGCAGACTGCCGGCGCCACCCTGCACGGCGCCGGGATGAACGCGGCGTGGCAGACGGGGGTCACTGACTCCTGCACGTGCATGCAAGGGTCGCCGGAGGCTGGGCATTGCCGAGTCGGGCGGCACTGGCGCTCGGCCACGTCAGTGCGCGGAAGAACGTCCGAGGAGGGCCCCGGAGGGACGGGAGGGTGAGGGCTGGGAGCAGTTCACCAGACCCGAGCCGGCGCAGCGTGCCGGGGAAACAGAGACCTGCACCTACGCAACAGGGGCGGAGCCGTGTGTGCGGCACACAGCGCCCGTCACTGACATCGTGCGGACGGAAAGATGGCGAAGCGAGGCCCACGTGGCTGTGTTTAGGCCTGTGTCCCTCGCATCGTCTCGCTAGGTTTCAAAAGTGCGGTGGATGTGGGTAAAACATAATGATAGCAAATTAGCCTGCATGTATTGCACCGCATATTTCAAAGACGAGAATCCTAAGCGTGTTTCTTCAAATCGCTGTGTTTCCAAGTAACCGACTAACCACTTACCTCTTACTTTCACTGCCGTAAAAGTGTTCATGTCATGCTTGTGTGGTTTTGCTTTAACATGAGACACTGCCCATCTTCACCTGTAATCTTGCCCTTCCTTACACAGCTCAGATAAAAGGTAGCGGCAGGGATGTAAGAGAGGCAAGGCAATGGTTGCTACGTCTGCGCCAGAGATGGCGAAGCAGCGTCCTCTCGCTGCTGCGGTATGCAATAAAGGCTGGGCTACGGGGCTTGTTATGACAAACAAGTAGAAACAATATCAGTAAGACCAGCCGCATGCAATGCGCATTTACAGAGTTCAACGGAACTGCACGTCGTGCACGCTCCTTTCACGTATTTCCACACGTCGCTAACCCGAAGTGCGTCGAATCCTAACGGGAGACAAACGCGTCGAGAAATTGTCAACACGCTGCGCCGTTAGCGCATCATATCTTGGGAGCTGACACCACGATCCAAAGCGACGCCGCGCAATGCGTGGTGAGAATCGCGAACCAACAAGTGGGAGCAGCTGCTTACATACCGTGTGTTGCAGATGTTCCTGCCCTTTAGTCTAGGAAGTCCACAACGCCGCCGGACAGCGATGCCGGTAAGTTGAAGCGACGCCGCACAGTTACACGGTCACGATCGCGCGACAACACGTGGGAGCATCTTTTTGTGTACTTTGTATTTCAGATGTTACTGCCCTTTACGCCTAGGAAGTGCATGTCTCTGACATTTTCCAACGGTCTCGAATCCGATAGCATCAGTCGCAGCTCTTGCCAACACATAAAAAGCCGCCCGCAACCCCTGTCTGAGCCTGATCAAGTGACGCAAAAACAGCTGATCTGTTCACCCGACGGTGTTGATAAATCACAAGCAGACCGGTCCGGTCACGGCCGTGCCCCAGGACATCGGCTCACGGGATGCATGGCCCGAGGCATCGGCTCACAGGATGCATGGTCCGAGACATCGGCCCAAGAGATACATGGTCCGAGACATCGCCTCATGGGATGGCGGCCCTGAGACATTGACCCACGTGGTGCCTGGTCCGAGACATCGGCCCACAGGATGCCTGGTCCGAGACATCGGCCCACGGGATGCAGGCCATGAGACATCAGCCCACGGGATGACCGCCTGGAGCCATCGGGTCACGGGATGCCAGCCCCGAGACATCGGCTCACGGGACGTCGACCCAAGACATCGGCCCACGGGATGACCGCTCCTAGTGCTGGGGGTGCGCGCGCTCCTGACCACCACACGCGAATACGACGCTGATCTGCAGCTCGTGTCCCATGGCGGCTCCGGTCGGCAACCGCTCGGTCCAGCCGCAGCGGCAGATTCCCCCCGTCGCGGCCTGCACTGATGGAAGCCAGACCTCCGCCGCGTGAGACTGAACCGTCGCCTGACGGCTCTATTTCGCCTGACGCCAGGGGTCAGCACATTGTTTGCGTTGCGCCTCGCGGGCCGGGCAGAAATCTCGTAAGATATGCGCTTTAGCGATCGAGCAAAAAGCGAGCGACGACAATGCTAGATTGCCGCGTCGTGACACCTGGCAGTTCCCTCCCGCGATGTAAATCACGGATGTGTTCTCAGTGGACTCGGGGGACCCTCGGTGATAGTTTATTAATCGTAAAATCATCCACGGCTGTGTCGTTGGTGAACCGTCGTTTTTGTTCGCCGCTGGGCCCAGTGCACTGTCCCCACAAATTTATGAGGGCACATGGGACTAGGGATCGCGGTTCAGGGGTGCAAGCCGCGAGATTCAAGACATGTCCGGGTCATCTCACCGTTTTTGTCCGTTTCTGTGAAAAGAAATGTGCCGTCATGTCCTACGCGGGTTTATACGTTACCGGCGGCGTGCGGACGGCTTCCAAACATACGTCCGAGGCCGGATGACCGGACAGACCAACGGTGGTCTCCCGAACCACGCCGGACCGCACCGGACCGGACTGGACGGCCAGGCTGCCTGCCATTCTGCATCCGGCTGGTCCGGCCAGAGAGGCGCGCTGAGACGGGTCTCATGGGACAGAGAACACCAGCTGCCGCTCACGCTTTGTTGAAGCCGCAGGCCCCCACTTGAGCCCAGGCATCCCACTGGAGCCGCAGGCACGTCATTGGATCCGCAGCCCCCCCCCCCCCCCGATGGAGCCGTAGGTAGCCCGATGGAGCCGTAGGCAGCCCGTTGGAGCCGTAGGCAAGCAACTGAAGCCCGCACGGACGCCGTTGCCCTCAACAGCTTCTCACTTAAAAAAACGTCCTGCAAAAGTACGGGCTGCGTCGTCATGAGGCATTGCATGCGATAAGCGTAGCACATTCAACTGCATGGGTGACGTTTTGGCGGGCAATCCGGCAGTGTGACTTATACGATGAGCGTGATAGAACTTTGCACCCGTAACCTTCGTATTTTACCCGCGCTTGGATCTGTCCCACAGCAGGAGGTGTGTGGGGAGGCTGGGAGATATGGAGGAGGTGGGGCGTAACCACACAGCCAAGAAACGCTACTGACGAAGACGTGCCGGCAGGCAATGGTGAAGAAACGCCTCGGATGTTAGTGGCTCGTCTGCCAGTATCTGAGGTCTTAGCTACGGTCATCATTAAACATGAGTAATAATGACAAACAGTCATTCTGCTTACATCTTTCAAGAAGCACATCTGCCAATGCTGGTTCGCTGAAGACGTTTTGCATCATGAAACAAAAATGCTGTTAGGAGGCAGTTTCAGTGCAGGATCTTCTTTTTGCGTAGGAGTATGTGAGAGTGATTGCTACACCGTTTCTGGTTGGTGACATATGTTTTGTTGCCGCTGAGCCAGCTCAATCATGTGACACACGGTGTAATTTCGGCGTTGCAAAATATCCTGGGCCCGGTCTTAGTTTTTTTATAAGCACGTAGCGCCAAAGCTTAAGGAAATCTGTTCTCCAGGAAAGCGGTCAATGGAAACCCAACAAAAATGCTCCTTCTTTGTAATCAAGAATGGGTGATACCATGGAAAAGTACAGTTAAACGTGGCTACCCATAATGCAGCGGATGGCGCATCGGCCAGCCGCGGGGAATCTCAACTTTTCTAAACAAGTAATGCATACAGGTCTAAGCACAGCAATATTGCATTATGATACACTACACAGAGAAACATCAACTGGAAGTAGATTAAGTGTGACTGTGCACAGCCCCGAGTCGTCAATTAGTAACTTAAGCTCAAATCTTACCTCTGAGACATTCACTGTTTCTCACGGTATCTTCTGATCAAATGAGATGTCTGAAAGGCAAAAAAGGCGTACATGGCTGTTCATAATAAGGTTTTCCAGACTGACTGCATTTTCAGAATGAATATTTACCACCCCAGACTTACAAAGCTGGAGATCTTGTTGGCTTTGCGAGCAAGTAGGTAAGCCACAGGACACGGGTATTTGTTGCTAAGGTAATCCACAGTACACGGGCCTTTGATGCTAAGCGAGCAAATTATGAGGCTCGGTTTGCATGTGCTAGTTGGTTGCAGGTCGTCCAGACAACTACATAATAAACTGATTCGAGTAGAATACTGTGCAGCTCCTGGTAGCCTTGAGCAGTAAAAATGCGTTGTGATTGGCTGGTGAGGAATACTATGCACATAGGTCTTGAACGTCTCGGTGTCTGGACAGTATTCGAACATTTTAGAATTGCAGTGTCCATCAGCCGTGCCTGCTGAATTCTCTGTATGACTTTCACTGGACAAGTGTGCGTGTACTGACGAGCTTGAATGCCAGACAAGTGCATTTAACACCATACATCAGTGATGAGTTCAGCCATTGGTTACTGCGGTGCGATATCCTAAATGGACAGGGCAGCACCTGCGAGAGCTCTTGACCGGCGGCGTCACGTTTTCGTAGCAGTCTCGCCCGGTTCGGTGCTGGCGTGTGTCGCAAACAGCGAGGAAACACGACCCATCAGATGGTCGAAGAGATGTCGGCTGGTGACCAGCTGCCTAAATTCCCCGAAGCTGCAAGTGCTCGCAAGAAGCCATGTCATCCTTGACAGACATTACATTCTTGTACCGCAGACCTAGCCGAGCATATGATCCCACAGGCCGCACAGGTAAACATTGAGGCACAACTTCACCCTGGTGGTGTTTGGGTGATCAAAGCAGGCATCCAGCCATAGCAACATGAACCTAGGACCATGCAACGACGCAGGTATTCGGTGGCTGTATTTTATTTTGAGAGCGGTTCAGCGACAGGGCCGGCTGTGAGCCGCCGTCGCAAGAGCGTCACGTGACATCTGCAAAATGGAAAACTCCTCTGCGACGCCCCTTAGTTGGCAAGCTTGCACATTATGAAGACCTTTTCCAGAACAACGCATGCAACCGTTCTGAGTCAAGCAACGGATTAGTGAACGACCAAACATTTTACTGCACCATAACTTTGAGCTTCCAAAGCATATACTGCATTGGGCATGAACATGTGATGAATGTGATACGGTGCGCTGAAAGACCGTG